CTGCTGCAGCTCCGCCGGGAGAGGGGATTCTGGGGCCAGCGCGGGGAGGCCCACGGAGCGAGGAGAGGCCTGTAGCTACACAGAGGCAGAGCTGCCCCTTCTCCACCAGTGCCGGGTGCCCCTTGCCCTGGGGGGAGAGGAAGCTGGTTGGTGCCGAGTGGAGAGCGCTGGCTGCCGCTCCCCCTCTCTCCGGCTAGCGGAACAGAGTGAACCCGGCTGCCAGGCAACAAGTATGTTGACACACATGTAATTAAACCCGTGGAAGGCCGAGCCCCAAAATACCGCTGAGACCAGCTACCATTGGGTTTTGTGAAAGTTTGGAAAGCATATCCAGTCTCCTGTCTCGAATTGTAAGCCAGATCGGTGTCCTACTGGATCAGGAAGAAACTACCTGCACGGAGAGATTGTACCCTACTTGTTTAGGCTTTATTGCAGCTTCTTCAGAAGAATCTGGTACTGATCACTGTCAGGATAGTGGACTGCCAGACGCTGTCCTGGTTTACTGTGACAAATCATGTTTTCCTGCATTAAATCAAAGCAGACAAGTTAATGTTGAAGTGGAAATCACTTTTTACATCACTATTCTTTGTCGATTAGGAGCTGAAATAGGCTCTTAATATTTTGTTATTCACAGGTTGGGATCGTATTTGTAGAGCCTTGCGCAGATACAAAATGTGTATTTGCAGCTATTCCACAAACATGTTCTACAGATATAAAGCAGATAGCTGCACATTTGCAGGGCTTTAGGTATTTCCAAGCTCAGCTTAAATTTTGCTCTCTTCTAGGGTTGCGTGCCCCTGAGCACACTTGAATCAGACAACTGGGGATACCTAAAGAAAGGTTTTCGGGCTTATTGGTCTCTTGACACCTTTAAAAGGCACATGTGCAGAGTGGATAGACTGTGTCTTAATGTCATACTATAACCAGCTGCCTCACCTTTAAACTGTTTCTGAATGAGTGCACAGCTATACTAGTCCAGGAAACACACTTAAGTGTGTAAACCATCAGAGCATGCTGAGCATGCACTGTAGCCTATGTAGTCATATGAATTTATTTATATTACACTTCTCCATCCTAACACACTCTCAAAGTTTGTTGTGACTTGTCTTTGACTAAATTGCATGTACGGTTATTGACCTAATGGGCCTCTGATCCTAACTGAGATTAAGTGTGCAACTACAATAGAACTAATTAATCATTAAGAAAATTACCAGGTAAATCACGTCCAACTATTTCTGTAGAGCTCAGAATCTTTCAGACTCAGCAATTCACGAAGTCCTGCTCTGTGACAATGCTATGAAACCAATACAGCATTTAACATTTGCAACTAGGACAATGTAACAGTGACAAATATACTTTATTAATTTTAAAGAAAAATAAAGAAAAGAGGTGAGCCACAAACTTAAACAAGCAAAAGCAGACTCCGGTGACAGAAAAATACCCTTTTTGGGGTTTCAGCTGCCTGTATATTTGCTCTATTCTTTCGCTTTCCTCAGACCAGCCCTGAATCTTTGGTTTAAAAAAGACATGTTTTCTTTTTCCTGTAATATTACCTTTAACAAAGTCATCTTAAAGAAACAAATATAAAAAACTAAGAAAGCTTGCCCAGGCGTTTAGATAACACTCATTACTGTGACATCTAAATGCTGCACAGAAACCCAGAACACCAAAATGTTTTCATGCTTTATTCCTCTAAACAGAATAGGAGGCCCTGAGGCAAGGTCTTGGTGATTTCCTGCATTGAAGTAAGTGGCATATAGAAGCCGAGGCTCTCCAGGAGCCATTGCTATTGTGTTTTTGTTCTGTGTGTATACAGTGCCTGGCATAATGATATCCTGATTCATGGGCTCTTTGACATAATGATAACACAAATAATAAGGGTCAAAAATGCAAATGAAAAATAATAAAGATAAAAACTTTTCTCCATTCAGATGACAGAACTGCTCAATGGCAAATAAAAAGGATGCACACACTAGAGATTACATGGGTCTGAAACAGTTCAGAGTAGAAAACACACATCGTGAAGAAACATTACAGTCCACCAATATATTACCCTATAATCCTACTGGGCAGCTCTATATATTTTCAGTTAAACTCTTTCCATACTGTACTGCATTGCCATCTCTAGAACACACAACACTGACTCCTTTTTTCAAAGGGCTCAGCACCCTTTAACTTCAGTGGGATTTATGGGTACTCAGCAGTTCTGAAAATAAGACCAGATGCATTCAATTCTTTCTAATTAGATGCTCAGCACTTTACAGGAACAGGCCATAAGCTTTGTCATGTGAGTGAAAAACTCAAGGGAAGTCTTTACCTGCTTTGCAGAGGTTTTTGGAAAAGTCCCATTATTGATGCACCAGGTTTTCACAGGAGAAAGGAGCTGCCACTCAGTCTTCCATGCTAATAATTGGAACCTGAAACTCCTTTGGAACCTTGAGGCTCATTTTGAGCTGAGGAACTTCCAATTAGCTGATTCTTGAAGAAAGAGATTTTAACCAATCAGATAGCGATAGCAATGTTTGTGGAAATAAGGGATCTTTTTGCTTTTATTTCTCCCAGCCAGGTGCACAGAGCTGGAGATAAGCCTCAAATGAAGAAACAGAAGAGAGAAAGTGGCAGAAAAAAGCACTTTTAGGAAAGAGGAGGGGAGAGAGTAACATGAAAGGAAATTAGCCAACAGAAGTAAAAGAAAATTTAAAAAGTAAGAACAGGCATCAATAATGAGATTTGATTGAGAAGCTGGTAAGTAACAAGCAGAAAGACTAGGAAACATGTAAAATCTTTATTTTTAAATTTGTTTTACCTTCATAAGTCTGAGAAGAGACCAGCACACAGCAGCCCATAGTATCTCTAATCCCTGGAATATCAATAAGAGCAAATGTGATTTCCTTTCTTCCTAGGTAGAGTTTACAGCAGTGTGTACATCACCCATATGAGGTGTGTTGGAGATTATTTCCTGTCTCCAGAATTTGTCATTAGTTTTTCCCATGGAGAGCAGGGACAAATGTTCATGCTGTGTCTTCAGATGCAGAAGTAAACAGGTCATAAAAATATTCCAGACTGAGCTAGCAAGGGAATGTTCAAACCTCCCCTGCTTGTGACCTCACAGAATTCTAGGACAGCTCAACTGATAATAGAGCCCCAGTTGGGAGAAAACTGCAGCCAAATAGTTATTTTAAGAGCACTGGTAAAAACTCTCATATTTCTGGGTTTAAGCCTTATCTGGGCCTGCCTCCCTCTGTTCAAATTCAATACCTGCTATGTTTGGGAGATATATATAGACATACACCCCTGTGTCATCTCCCAGTGCTGAAGCAATGCTGTGGGCAGTATGTGATCAGTCCAAAAATAAATTTCTTGTGAAAGTAGAAATTTCATCATTTGGAACATTTTAATTTTGATTGGTCAAAGCCCTGAAGAATAGACTCTTTGGAGCAATCTTGCTTTAGACTCTGAGGGAGGGACTAGTCCTAATTTTTTCTCCATCTCCAGTGTTAGGATTCAATGACAAATGTAGTATTTGTCATTATTTATAGGTGGTGTGCATGGTATTTCATCGGTGAATAAGGCACAATTTCCTGCTCTAAGTTGCTCAGACCCTACATCAGACCAAAACATAACAGAGAATGAGAACATGATATTGCAAGATGAAAAACAGAGGGAAAACGTTATGGTCGCAACCCTGCTCCCACTTAAGTCAATGTGAGTATTGCCATTGACTTCAATCAGTATGTACAGTCTTGGGACCAATACATTCAGATCACTTATGTTGGACTCTGGTGGGACTTTTTTATTCTTTTCCTGGTTTACTTTGTTAGTTTTATTTTTTAACATAATTGTGTGAATGTCTAGACAACAATGGCTGGACTAAAAAGGATCAACAAGAACTGCTTCTTGTTCACTCCTGGGTAATCTGGTCCAAAATGAGAAGTCAGGAGAGAGGAGAAGACAGAATTCAGGGTACAAGAGGGACAGTAGGAATAGATAAGAGATGCTATAAGGTCTTATCTATTGAAAAAATCAGTAGTTTGGGGAACATGAAGCCATGTTTTGTTCTGGATATTTAAGAACTTTTCTTGATGCCTTAAAAAGCTATAAGAAGCTTCCTCATTTGAACTTAAGTAATACTTCAGAACAATGAAGAGCTATAGGCTACGTCTACACTGGCCCCTTTTCCGAAAGGGGCATGCTAATTTTCAAGTTCGTAATAGGGAAATCCGCGGGGGATTTAAATATCCCCCGCGGGATTTAAATAAAGATGTCCGCCGCTTTTTTCCGGCTTGTAGAAAAGCCGGAAAAGAGCGTCTAGACTGGCCCGATCCTCCGGAATAAAGCCCTTTTCCGGAGGATCTCTTATTCCTACTTCAAAGTAGGCCAGTGTAGACGTACCCATAATGTTTTATTCATGGACAGATGCAAGATCCAATGTTTCATATTTGTGTGTTTGAGATACCTTTTGTACCAAAACATTTCCTCAGTTGTACCTCCGTTGATGAGAGAGTAATAAATCAATAACAGAAATCCATCATTTTGTCTTCTACATGGAAGCTTGCTTACTAATTGAAGTCAATATGATACTTCTTTTATAGACTTAAAAATAGCATGGTAGAGGCAAGAAAGAACCCACCCAACATATACACAGTGTGTACAGCATCAATGGCTGGCAATACATGCATGATAAACATATCTTCTAAGTCCTAAATGCAGGTAAGTGTTACAGTTAGGGCTGGAACTAGGATACATGGGCAGAAGAATGGGACAAGCTTACAGTTATACCAATAATTGCTCTATGCAGCCAAGCAGACCAGAATAAAATAGCAAATAAACCTTTTTCTTGCCCCTTAGTATTAATATAGGGCTAACAAGGGTTATAGAGGTTCACAGTCATGGCCTACACAGAGCCAGTTCTTTCCTTTTGTCCCTATTTATGGTACAATATTCATGTCCTTTGGGTCCCTCTGAAGGAAGGGCAGGATCCTAGTTCACTGAATCTACCTGTAATTCCAGCTAAAAGTCAATGTTCTGATGTGAAAAGAACAGCACAAGTTGCCAAGGTGGGGAAGGGGTACTATCTCTTGTGGAGAAGGGGAAAGCAGATGGAAGTATCTACTGGGAACTTGTTAGAGAAAACTTGATCCTACATACAATTTCTTTTCATCTTGCACAGCCTGGCAAAAACAAGATAAGAGAGGAACAAAGTGCAAAGTGAAAGGATATCAAATGGACTCAAGTAGGCATCTTGGCAGTGTGTATAGACTATCTGGGGCACTCAGTACTCATTCTGGGGCTTCAGTTCCTCTCCATCCCCGAAAACCGGCAAAAGACCTTTGGTGAGTACCAGCTACTTGTTTCTCTCTCTCTCTCCCCCCCTCCTCTCCCCGACCCTTTTAAAGGAGCCTAAGATAAGAAAGCGCTTTGGCCTCATAACTTTTACTTCTGCCTCTTCTATCTCACACTCCCTCAGCTTGATTATTTTGTTTTTCCAGACAGGAATGCTGCTGGCATTTTGTTTCCATAGCACCCCACTGATAACATTGACTTTACTCTCACAAGCTCAGAGGACTCTTCTGTGTGTTTGTTTGTACTGGAAGAAAGTTGGGAAGACATTTGCTGTCTACAAGAAAGGAATTGCTTAGGGTACATCTAGACTACATGCCTCTGTCGTCAGAGGCATGTAGATTAGGCTACCAGACATAGGAAAATGAAGCGGCGATTTAAATAATCGCCGCTTCATTTAAATTTACATGGCTGCCGCGCTGAGCCGACAAACAGCTGATCAGAGCGATAGTCTGGATGCGCGGGTGTCGACATCAAAGGTATTTGTCGACCACCGGAAAAGGGAAATGAAGCCGCGATTTAAATAATCGCGGCTTCATTTAAATTTAAATGGCTGCCCCGCTGAGCCGACAAACAGCTGATCAGCTGTTGGTCAGCTCAGCGCGGCAGCCATGTAAATTTAAATGAAGTGGCGATTATTTAAATCGCCGCTTCATTTTCCTATGTCTGGTAGCCTAATCTACATGTCTCTTGTGACAGAGGCATGTAGTCTAGACGTACCCTTACTTTTGATGATAAAATTACCACTTTGTACAAACTCGGGGTGGGCAGGGAGTAGCCTGGTAGGCACTCAAAAGAACTCAGGAAAAGCCAGGGGTCAGAGAAGCCTTGGCAAAGGTGTATTTATCATTTCAGTACTGCAAACAACAAATTGCCTTGTCCACCAGCCTGAGTTTTCTTACTACGAGGGTGACTGTATATCCCCTATGATTCTATAATAGATGGATTGAATGTACATGCAACTTCCCCATCCTGGATGGGATACATTTGACCTGCTGTGTATATCAGTGCCGCCTTATCTGAACTGAGAAAGCTGTCTTCAGCTCATCAGCTGAGGTCCTGTATTTTTGTAGTTTAAATTGAGTTGTATTCCATGAATGCTGCCTTCCTCATGTTATGCATAGTTCAGTCAAATACAAGTGATTAGGCTCAATCAGTGCTTAAATTTAGCCAGAGTCATCTGGAGTGGAGCTCTGGTAAATATTTTCAAATCTGCAGAAGACTCAGAACCTCCTGCAGGTCTGAAAGCCTGAGCCCTTGAGTGGCCCCATGACACTGAAGCCCCAATATATCTTGTGGAACAGAATCCCAAACCCCTGAAGGTCCCATGGGGCAGAAGCCTCAAGATGTGATGGAGCCTCCTCTGTGGGTCTGAAATCCCTAACCCTGGTAGCCCATATATGGGGCTGATGTCCCGAATCTCATGCTTTCCCTGAGAGGCAAAAAGGCCCGGTGCCCCCCTTCACAGAGCTGAAGTGCCAAGATGTCTGTCCCACAGCTAATGCCTGGATCCTCAAAGGGGGGAAGGGAGCAAGAGAGAGAGACAAGGGAGGCTCGAGGAAATAATCTCTGGGAATTTAATCTCTAGGCTCATTACAGTGGTAACTGGAATAAATTCTCTGGCCTACTTATACTTGATTATCCTCATGGTCTTTTCTGGTCTTAAAATCTATGAATCTGACAACAGGTAATTGTGTATGAACATGACACTGTAGAGACAGATGTTGAGAAACAATTAAGATGAGGGGAGCAGGAGCAATATCTGGGAAATCTGTGAGGAAACTAATGGGATTTGGGGAAAAATTGTCTGATTTCTAGGTGTTTTTTCTGAGGGTGGGAGGGGAAGGAAGCCTGTATTTTTGTATATGCATCCAGTGTGCTAATTAGGCACATATTTAAAGAATTCAGATTCATTAAGATGCATACATTAAACCCTTTCCTCATAATTCAGCCTCTTAATGGCTGCGTCTAGACTGGCATGATTTTGCAGAAATACTTTTAACAGAAAAGTTTTTTCGTTAAAAGTATTTCCGCAAAAGTGCATCTAGATTGGCATGGATGCTTTTGTGCAAAAAGTGCTTTTGCACAAAAGCATCCATGGCCAGTCTAGACGCGATTTTGCACAAGAAAGCCCCGATAGCTAAAATGGCGAGCGGGGCTTTTTTGCGCAAAACAGTTCTTCCCTGTCTACACTAGCCCTCTTGTGCAAGTATTCTTGCGCAAGAGGGCTTTTTCCCGAGCGAGAGCATGAAAGTATTTGCACAAGAAGCACTGATTTTGTACATTACAAAGTCAGTGCTCTTGCGCAAATTCAAGTGGCCAGTGTAGACAGCTGGCACGTTTTTGCCAGTCTAGATGCACCCAATGTGTTTTGTTGGACTTATATGAATTCTGGTAAGGAGGTACCCAAAATGCCACAAAGTATTTCAGAAGCAGTTGCAATGGAGCTGTTTGGAGTGAGATTATCAATTCTCTACTCCAGGATATAACATTTTGTGTGCACCCCAACATTGCATTGACCTACTTAGTTGCTGTCATTTTGCCACACTATGTCTAATTGACTGTTCAATCAGCCATACATCCCTTTCAAACATTTCCACTTTCCAGGAATTCCAGGTTTCTCCTTCCAATTAAGAATCTGTTGCTCTTCTCCAGATATACTAATTGCATTTTAAAAACTCAGTTTCGTTTCTACCTCTTTTTATGTTTCCTCCTTTGTATTATATTTCTCTAACCTGACTAGCCAGTTGCAACACCTTCCAATGAAGCATCTGAAAATTGTATATTCTTTGGGATTGTTGTTTTGTGTTCTCAGAGTCCTAAATGCCAAAGCTCTCTGATTTTTATTGTTTATTATCTGCCTTGTTAATTTGATGTCTCTGTGTCTATTAACTTGATGGTATAGCGTAGCAGGCACAGATTTCCTTAACTGATTATTAATGTATGCGATTACTTTGCATTGCTGGATGTTTATCTTCTGAATGCCTCCCGGGCTATGGGGAGACCAGATCCCTGTGGGTGGGCCCATCCATCCCCACAAAGCCCAGCTGAACTCAGGAGATCTCTGCACCAGCACAGGGGTCTGCTGCAGGGCCGGGGTTTCTCGTGGTCTGCACAAGGAATAACTTTTTGGAACCACCATTAACCCATAACAACTTGCCGGAGCTCACAGAGACCCGGTCTGCAAGAGGTCAGCCGCAGCGACAAGCGATCAGCACCTACCCACGCTGGGAGCCGGGGAAAGACCCCAGCGTGGGAAGCTGTGCATGGCGCATAGGTGCTTCCCCTCCTGCCCCATCACACCTCCTCACTGGGGACCCATCAGGCTCCGTGCTGGGACTGATACCGGAGCGGCTCAGAACGCAGCAGCGCCAAAGAGCCGGGTTTGTGCCTCTTGGCTCGCCGTCGCGAGGCCTCTTAGCATGGGACGCGGCCGGGTGCAAATGGGAGCGGGCTCGTCCTCGCCAACCCAACAGAGGCGGGGACGCGCTCAGGTATCGGGGCCCCTCACTGGGGACCCATCAGGCTCCGTGCTGGGACTGATACCGGAGCGGCTCAGAACGCAGCAGCGCCAAAGAGCCGGGTTTGTGCCTCTTGGCTCGCCGTCGCGAGGCCTCTTAGCATGGGACGCGGCCGGGTGCAAATGGGAGCGGGCTCGTCCTCGCCAACCCAACAGAGGCGGGGACGCGCTCAGGTATCGGGGCCAAACCTGAAAGTCCGCAGGGGGGAGGAGAGGGGAAACCGCAATCAATGACGTCATCCGAGCCCCTGGCTTCTGGGAGCTGCGGGCCGCAACC